AATCATACCAAGATGCACAAAAATGAAATTGTCCAAAACTTCTTGCTCCTCCATTTTTTTCTTTTGCTCTTTGCTGCCACCATGAACTGCTGCCCTCTGCCATGTGCTACACTGCCTTGGAGCCAGCTGAGTATGGACTGGAACCTCCAGTAACTGTGAGCTAAATAAACCTTTCGCTCCTTTGTTTTGGGTGTTGGGTATTTGTCCCAGGAACGAGAGAAAAATAACTGAGACAGTATTGAAATCTATTCCAAGGTAGGTATTACCACTATCTTTAACTAGACACAAGTAAATAGCTTTTCAGAAAGTTTAAAAGAAATCTACTCAAATCTTCCAAATTAACTTCTAGTTTGTAAGAAATATAGAGAAAAAACATGCTAAACAATGATGAAACAGTGAGACAAATTTAGAATGTGGGCATTTTCTAACACAACTGGCCTAACGCTAAAAAAAAAAAAAAAAAAAAGTCATAGGGCAAAGAAGGAACCATTTTTAAACTCCCATCATAAAATGAGCCTGACAGCAAAATACTTGTAAGACAGTTACTCAGGGTGGGTAAGACAGCACAGCTGACTAAGCGCCTGCTTAAGCAAGCGCAGGGACCGGGGTCATCCCTTGCAACACATGCCAGGCCGGTGCGACCCTGCTCCTGGTGCACTGAGCCAGCCACTGAGACTGGGGGTGGTGGCACGCCTGTAATCCCAGCACTTGGGAGGCTGAAAGCAGGAGGAACACTACAAGTCCAAGCTGTGTAGTAAAACTCTGTACCCATTTTATTTAATAAATTTTTAAAAAATAAAAAGATTAAGATTATATTCTTTCCTACTTGAACAATACTACATTTTAAATAGTTATACAGTTTGCTTTTGTCCTGTAAAGTCTGTTGGTAATTTCCAGATCACAATATTCTATTATCTGAGAAAAATATACTTATGTGCATGTATGCACTATATATACATTTTCTACATTTAGTTTTATTCTTTTACCATTAACAGTTAGGGTCCTATTTTTTAGAATAAAATGTTTAAATGGCCAAGCAAGGTTAGCGTTGGAAACTGACCAATGCCTAGAATTTTATGTTAAAAAGGGCAATGGTTTTTGTGTGATAGTTTCATAACTATTTCCATTGTGCTTTAAACTCCCAACGCTCTGTTCTTTGGAATTTAAAATTCAATTTAAGAGCTAAAGCAATGAAAGGTAGACTAAATCCTGAAGAATAAATTTGCTACAGCTTTTATCTCTTTTCAATTATTAAAGGCACATCAAAGAACTCTGGGGCTTCCAGGGAGACAACAAAATAAATTTCTGGTTGATACGCATTACTAGCTATTCATATTAATAACCAAGAAATTAAAAACACACTGTATGTATAATACAGCCTAAAGCAAAGTAATTAATCGTATGGGAGAATAAGATATGCCTGAAAATAGTATTTA